TTGACTCTCCCGATCTCTATTTTCTTGCATTTCTGTTTTTCGCATTCTCATTTTTCTTAGAACTACTTTTGAGCTGATCTCCTTTGTAGTGTCGAACGAGGTAAGAAGTTACTGAAGAAAAGAGCCGAAATAAATGAGAGAGTTTGTAAATTACATAGCAGCTATGCATATATATATATATATATATATATATGTATTAATATATATATATTAATATATATATATATATATATATATGTGTGTGTGTGTGTGTGTGTGTGTTTGTGTGTTTGTGTGTGTGTGTGTGTGTGTGCTTTTGCGTGTGTATTAGATGGTTGAGTAATAATTCTTATCATTTGAAAGCAGTACATACACCTTTTATGCGTAACTAATTTCCATTCTTCGTTAGTGCTTCGTTAGTAGAATTTTATTACTATACACGCTTTCGCATGTTTTTTACTATTTCAAAATTTTATTTCTTCATTATTACTTATGGATTACTATATTAATAAATAATTTTCATGATTAGAGAATCATTCGCTATTTTTAGCAGTGAACGAGATAAATTTAATAATATAATTAATCGTTAAATAATGCGATCAATAATTAAAAATCAGATTAACAGAGGCTTAATAAATTTTACATTTTAGAAATATGTATACATTATGATGATCAGTAATTTCGGAATAGTAAACAAGAAATTAGAGGACTAATACTTTCACCTCCTTTATTTAAATTTACAAAAATATAGATATATTTTACAGCAGAGATTATGCTCTGATATTGTACGACAGGAAGAGTATTGTGAAGGTAAATATATAATGGCTTTTCATGAAAAGTATTTACCGTTAAATTACGTAATATCAAAATAAATCTATTTTTACAAACAAAAATGTCATAAAAAAGTTATATCAATGGCTATGCTTTCTGTAATTCTTTAATAAAATGAAAATTATCGCATTCATTGTAGTCTATAAATGATGCCTTTGAATAAAATTTATGAACAGTTATGAAGCGATTATATTATTAAGATTATTCTTATATTTTAATAAATTTTATGAACATCCATAAATTATTAATGCAAATAATGAATAGTAATAATATATTTAGCAATAAATAGCAAGTTTCATTTTAACAGAAAATGCTGATATGTTAACCTCTAAAATCGTTCCACCAATGAAGTTTCTTATGTCAAGAGATATTTTTTAACGTTCTACTTTTAAGAGGCTCTATTATCTAAAAATTGCAATAATTTCGACTCATTAGGATAGAAAAGAGGTGAAAGTACTTGGTTGATTTTGCACTCATCTCGAGTTTAACTGAAAATTAATGCAAAAAATAGTTGTAATATTGGCGCTTGCGCATGTAATTGTAAAATAACATAGTCTACATGCAAATATGTAAATGCGAATGCGAGCTAGTGTGAGGCAATGGGAGAAGAAAAGAGTGAAGGAGTGTAGACGTGGCAGGTAATTACTTTAAAGGCATGCTAGGTACCAATTACTTCGAACTTTATCGTCAATTTCAGTTAAAAAAATATATTTTAGAGATTTGGGGCCGATACGAGTTTTGTTTTTAAAAAAATTACCATATTTATTTTTTAAACGACATTTTGTCTTTATGCGAACGAAGTTTAATAAATTTTTTAATGCACTCTTATTATACAATATAATTATTAAAATTAATGAAAAAAACACATCGATTATGCAAATTAGATGTTACATAACACTTATTAACATAACATTAATACATCATAAAAAGAAACTATTTAAAATATGTATGATTCATTGTTTCTAGAAAAAATATGTATATACTATTAACCTATCTATTTCATGAAAACATTTTCTTTTTGTAGAAGCATTGTAATTAGTAATTTAAAAGTTAGTAGATTTTTTCAAGGTATTTATTAAGTTTATTTCCATTGTCTGTGTGCGTTATAATATTATTTTGTTATAAATTACAAAATATCTTGGGATAATAATCATTAATAATACAATTTACATATATATATATATATATATATATATAAAGAAATATAAATGAATTACATATTGGATTAATATTAAACGAAATGACAAATTAAATTAATAATAGCTGTTACGACAGATTCGCTTTTCACGAATACAGTATTTACACAATGATTCGATTTTATTTATGTCGCATATTCTTGATAATGTCCTCGTTGGAAATTAAATTAATTTTTGTTTGAAAATATTGAAACTCCGGTTCATATTATTTACCAATGATAATGGAAAATATTCAAATCTGGCTGTGTGCATGCTCAGGTAGTTATCAAGCAGACGGATTGATTTCAAAATAACAAGGTACCGACTTCACATTCCGCGATACAAAGTATACGGTGATAAAAATCTGCATAATCAGGAAGACTCTTGAATAGGAAAAAATGCTTCGTATTGAGACAATTTTCACGTTTCGTGTCTCACAGGGGTTACGTTCTCCTTGTTTAAACACCAGACCAGAGTTCAGCAATTAGCGAACGGTCTTCATCGATCCATCGCTTGCATTCTGTTTCGAGATTCACACTTCATCTGTAGTACGTATATTTTTCATTTCCTTTATACAATGAGCCAACAACAAACACTACTCTCTTTTGGATGATGTTTCAGCACTTTTCTTTATAATGGTTTTCTCATGATTATGCACATAATTTGAATGATTAACGGCTTGTAGTTGCATAAGGACATTGGCATATTCAAAGAAATTTATCCTGTGAGAAGCAATTTCATTCATTTCTTAAACAAAGAGGTTTGATATTTTCTAATCACTTTTTAAATTATTGCTTTATAAGATCATCGAATATTGCATTTCCTACTTAAAAATACGCAACTAAAAAATCATGTTCTTTTCAATAAATAACGGCAAGTTTTAATTCGGCAAGTCCCGTTAAGCTCAATGAATGGTTTTAAGAAATTATCAAACGATCTATGAATAAATTAAGAATTGGTCAATGATAAATATATGTGGATGATTATGATAAAGACACCACCTTTAGTTAATTTAAGGCTTAATAAAAATAAAATTGTTAATTTTTTAATTTTTACATTGTACTTTGAGCGAACTTGATTATTTGTTATATTCATAATTTATACAATCATATTGAAGAGTAAAAATTTTACAACAAATCTCTTTATTATCTGTAAAATATTCGATCAATAATATATCAGTACGTTTACTATTTAAAACCATAATTTTTTCAAAAGATACTTTATTCTCTTTAAAATGATATATTGATTGTTTTGGTTATCAATTATGTAGAAATAAAAAAAAAAAATCAAAAATTATAATCGATTAAAAGTATGCTTTAAATTCATATTGTAAATTATTAAAGCCATTTATTATAATATTAAATTATTATTTAAATTTTCAATTATTAAATATTTGTGTAAAAAATAAATTTCTGTCTCTAAACTAAGAATATATGATTTTTAATTAAAAATTAGGAAAAAATACAAATCAACGAAATGCAGTAAAATAATCATAATATTAGGCGTATTTACTACCAGCAAATGTATGTATAATCAAAAAGATTATAACGTTAAAGCTATTTACGTATCAATTAAGACTTAAGCTTAGATATAAGTCAAAGGTAAGAGGTCACTGTCGTGATGCTTTACCTTCACATCCGTTTTCTATATTTGCGCGTAAAATCTGATAAATCACAAGCGATGCGGGCAGGACACAAGCACACTAATGAAGGGCTTTTGTATGCGGACACGCGGTTATACGTATTTTGTTGCGCTTACGCCTGTACACAAAAATAAAACATCGCGTGACAAGCTTGTCTCAGCAGAAATTCAAGGGGTTTCCTCCTTCAATGCACGATCCCTCCCAATCGAATTAAGTTTACTAATGTATCACGCAAGCACTGATCTTGGAACTATGCTGCTCTGATATAAAAGACAATGGTTCTGTCGCTTGTGCCTTAAGTGAGGTGCGGAACGTACCCCCAACCTTCGCACCGCGTCTCACTTCAAAAGTTCAACCTCACGTCTAACTACTCGAATTTTATGTACAAATATCGTCGGACGAGAAATACCTGCGAGTTCAGTTACTTATAAAAATTGAAATTTTAAAATATGCCACAAAGAATCTATTGAGGTGAGATTGTCGTAGCTTTTTTTGTTTTGTTTTGTTATTTCTATCATTGAAACGTACGTATAGAGAATATTAAGTTAATGTAGATTTTAATTAGTTACATATGTGTAGTATTGTGTTAAGTGAATTTTAATTGTCGAAAACGTGGCTGACAATCATATTTGCCTTCATCTTATGCACAGTTTATAAAGGAATATTGGTTTTTTGTTAAATAAATTAAATAAGTACTTATTTTGGTATTAAAACTCATACTGTGAAAATATTTATGACGATAATGTGACATTTTAATACAATTCATTGATTAATATTAATAATACACAGATACAAATTAATGTATTACGTAATTGAACATAATACCAAATAAAAATTAAAATAATAATATATTTATTTATAAATTGCACCAAGTTTAGTTGAACATTAATGTTTAAACACGAATATAAGTTTTTATATTAAGAGGAAATAGTCTTATCGTATTATAATAAAACTTTATTCAAAATTAATTGAAGGAGGCGTTGGTTAATAATGCCGAAGTTATTAATTAAAATTAGATTCAAATAACTAATTTATTTCCTACACTATATACTACCAAGAATTTATTAATTTAATCAATAATTCTTATGAGATTCGTTTCAATTCGCTTTAATGTAGTATGATTGGAACTTATTTATCGAAAATCACATTCTTACAAGGAGAATGAAAATTCTTTATAAATGAACGTAATTAAGCTATTAACTTAAATAACTTTACCGCAAATCTTAACAATGAAATAAGAACGTCGTACAATGCTATCTTGAAATTACAGCAACTCAGCCACTATACGGGTTAGTGTAACTTATCTGGAGGAGTGAGAATACCGAGGACACAGAAAGACCAAAGGAATAAAGGGACGTGACCAATAGAGAAGAATGTATTTCAACGAGAGTCGCATGTTGAATCCTATGGCGTTTGTGGGGATGGGCGGTTTGGGCTCACTGGGAGTCGCTGGTGTTGGGTAAGATGCTTTCTAATAGTCAATTTTGTTTCAAATAGTCAATGATTGTTTTTAAAGCACAATTATATTACAGCTCATATTCCATTAGTATTTAATTAAAATTACCCAAAGTTGTGTGTAATGGATGCACATTGTGCCAAAATGAAATATTGTCAATTTATTATTATTTCTAGAGTGAACTTTATTATATTAAAAATAATGAATACTTATTCAACTTATTTATTGAAGAGTAAAATCATCGCATTCAAAGAGTTTAGATATCAATTAGCCAATGAAAGTAATATTGCATAAAGTATTTAACATTATTACGTCACATTTATTTATTTACAAGTTATAAGTATTTTTATATTTCATATAACACTGGACTTTTGATTGTTATTAATTTCATTTTTAATTCCTAACGTTTGAACCGTATTTCATCTTTTCCTATAAATATGGTGCATTGTTACAAAAACTTATCGTATAAAAATCACAATATAAGTCAAGATTTAGGTTTATGGTAGCAATAGTGATTCTAATATAATTAGTTGACGGATAGGTACCGTGCAGAAATTTAATAGAGTATACGTTCGACTACTTACTCAAGTACAACTCATTTTATTCATCTCCAAGGTCTTATTTAGCCGGATCTCACAGTTTGCTCCACATGATTATACTTATGACGATATCCTAGGACAAAACTTACTTCCATTACCAATATTCACAAGTGTCATCGGTTGAACAGCCAATTGACTCCATAGACAGTCAGTTGATCCATAATTGGACATCCATAATTATGTATCAAGAAAGAATGTTGTCCTTTCGTGAATAGTCCCTAATAGATCATATATTGTTGGGCCTCTTCTTTCAGACGAGTGCTATACGTTTTTTTATTTCATATTAAGAAAAGAGCGAAAGGATCATGTGAATGAGAGTTTAATTATAGATTGGCATCGTTGTAGACATTTGCACTCTCTTAATTCTATAAAATCTATCCATTATGTCACTTGGCAATAATTTTGTCATTTACATATGAATTGTGATTAGTTATGTTAATATTTAATATCAAGTTTTTCTATCATCATCAATAAAAGACGTTTTAGGAAATTCAGGGATAGAAACAACAATATCTTTTATAATACCTTTTTGTATAATCTGGATGTATGACGTCTAGGAAGATATATTTCGTAAAACTTCATTACTAATTCTTTTTCTTTGCTTCGACTTGTCTAATAGAATAAATTATAATCTTGGATTGTATTATATCTATAGAGTTGGTCTTTTATCGATTTGTTGCCTATTCGTTTGTGGTCCTGTTCCAACCAGCTTAATGATAAGACAGTTGTGATCAGTTGGAGTAGTATTTCTCAACTTGCGCTACTGTACATATAAAGTTAAGAGAAGCCCTTAGTTGCTAGACAGACCAACGAAACAGTTACAGTCGCATTCTCGCTTAGCGAGTTGGGGTTTCTGATATGTCCTCGACCCATAATTCTAGTAAAAAATAAAAAAAAATCCTTTTCGAGTGTAGTACATTTGTCCTAGAGTCATTAACAAACAGCTGAATGTTGAGTTCTACCGTACTTACAATTCTACCTTAGTCGGTAAAGATTATTATTTATACCCAACTATTCGTGCCCATCATTCACGAGTTTATCACTTTTAACAAGATTCACACTTTCCTCACCTCTTCATACGGCAAGAAGATGTATTCCTACCTCGTTTGCTCATTTATACCGATTTCCATTATTAAAAAGCAAATAAAAATCTTCTAAAGAGCTACAGTGTATAACAAATGATACATGATGTAGAATAAGTACGGGAGTGTGAATTTTTGTTAATTTTGGAGTATTAAGTTTGAAGATAAAAAAATAATTAAAAATTTTCATTAATATGTTATGTAATATATTTGCGATCTAGATACAACAATTTATGTGTGATCATGCGATATATTATTGTTTAAAAAACATAAATAAATAAATAAAAAGATAATCTCTTACGTGGCTACATATCGTATAATACTAACTTTAATACAAAATACCACCGAATTTATAATATAAATAATGCGATTTATATAACCAATCAAGTATGTAATAATAATTAGAATTGTTTTTGCTTTTTTTAAAGCCAAGTACCACAAGTGCAGGAACATTTACTCGGCTGGAATCATCCACCGGAACACATGGACATCGTTCACCCCCATTGGCGTGGATTTTTAGCACCAGGGCGGTACTGGCACATCGGTCTCGCTCTAATTTACTTCATGTTGCTCGTTATGTCATTCATCGGCAACGGTTGCGTCGTTTGGATATTTAGCACGTAACTATGAAAATCCCCATTCAAAGCACATATTTGAGCTTTAAAAAATGTGAAAGTCTTTGCGAAGGAAATTTAAAAATAGAAGGTCACGATAAAATTTTATGGGAAAATGTGCGCACATAATAGGTTGATTTTTAATCCAAAGATGTAAATAAATTATTGATAAATTTTTACATGAAAGAATTAGGCAGCAAAAGCAATAGACAAATAATACAATTAATAATTAATAGGTGTAACGGAGATTTTCCTCAAAATTCGAATAAATATAAAGACTAGAAAATTCATTCAAGCGATATAGAAATAATTAAATTATGTGAAATATGCATTTGCCGTATAAATGACATCGTTACGTAAACTTTTAATGGAAAATGTGCGTTCGAATTTTAAAATATAATATGCCGAATTATTAAGCCGAATTGTCAAAAATTATTTGTCCCTTAAATGACACATAAATTGAAACTCATTCCTTGGGAATATTATTAATTAATGATTTATTTGACGATGGTAAAATACATTTTTGGTAATTTTGGCCTTATAATTTATAATATTCCATCGACTCCTCACCACCCCTCACACACGCAATTCGCAAATATTATTTTAATATTTATAAATCGTACAAAATTAATCATTATAATTATTTTAACAATTACATAACATGTAGTTGCAAATATATTTATATGTGTGAAATTTTCATTCCCAGAATCCATTCATTCGTGTTCCAGACATGTTATAATGGAGCGTAAGAAATAATTCATAAACATTTCAATGAATTTCAGATCAAAACTATTGCGAACTCCCTCGAACCTCTTTATTATAAATTTGGCGTTATTCGATCTCGTGATGGCGCTGGAGATACCAATGTTAATAGCAAATAGCTTTGTCGAGCGAATGATCGGTTGGAATCTAGGTTGTGACATTTATGCAGCGCTCGGCAGTATTTCCGGAATTGGTTCGGCCATTACTAATGCGGCTATTGCCTACGATCGATACAGGTACGTTCATTACGAGCTCTACGCAATGACTGTCAATTATCTATTTTCTTGAAGCTACGTGGGCTCGTGTCTGTCTGACTGCGTGCTTCATCATTATCCGCGAGTGAAAAAAAACAAACATTTATTCCCTTAAGAAATGCACAATGTAGTGCACGACAGGTTCATTCTCGTTCTTCACTAGGACTATTTCCTGTCCAATTGACGGAAGGCTAAACGGTAAGCAAGCTGCCGTTATAGTGGCATTCACATGGTTCTGGTCGATGCCTTTCACTATTCTGCCCTTCGCCAAAATTTGGGGCCGATATGCCACAGGTGAATTATTATTTATTTGCGAATTTGCCTCATTTTTCAGTCCTTTAATTTTTTTCACTCCTTATAAATTTATCGATTTTAACATTTACATAGCCTGTTGCGATTAATTAAATCTTTTGTTCTCAACACTTTGCATGCTCAAAGTAACTCAATGATTATTCCCGGGCAATATTACAAATATTTTCGTATTTTAAAGGATAACAAATTCATTATAATATACAGTGAATTTTAATGTAATAATTCGAATAAATCAATAATTGAACGTCACATTTATTTTTGCCAAATTACAGAGGGATTTTTGACGACTTGCAGCTTCGATTTTTTGACCGATGATCCGGATACTAAAGTATTCGTAGCTTCAATTTTCTGCTGGTCTTATTGCATACCCATGAGTTTAATAATTTACTTTTATTCGCAATTAATTAAATCCGTTAAGCGACACGAGAAAATGCTTCGGGAGCAGGTAAGTTTCCTTGAAGAAAATTCACCAACCAAATTTAATTGCGATATTATGCAGCAATCCTGATGCGGTCATTCACTACAAAAACACTTTCTTTTTTTCGCGTTTTTTTTTTTTAATTTACGTAGGCTAAAAAAATGAATGTTAAATCTCTGGTTTCCAATCAAGATAAAGAGAGAAGCGTCGAGATGAGAATAGCCAAAGTTGCCTTTACAATCTTCTTTCTATTTGTTTGTGCCTGGACACCGTACGCCGTTGTAACAATGATCGGTACATTTGGCAACCGGTAAGAATTACACTTGTAATAAATAATTCAGGAATCTTTCAAATTTTCTTCCTTCGTTTTTACACAGAGAATTAATAACTCCATTTTCGAGTATGCTCCCAGCCGTATTTGCAAAGGTCGTATCTTGCATTGATCCCTGGGTATACGCAATCAATCATCCAAGGTAACAGAAACATGCGAAGGTGCCATTAAAAATAAATAAAATAGGAATTTCTTTAATATTAATGTATATATGTAAGTTTATTAGTAGAATAATTATCGTGTACTTTAATATAATGTATTTTCAATACTTATACTCATGAATTGTGTTTATTGCATCGTATAAACAATCATTTTTTCTCTTTCGTTCTATCTGTTTTATTTGAATCTAAAAACGGAACTCCTAATATTCCAGGCAATAATTCTCTCAATTGAATCAATTTTTATTAGATTATTTCGATTAGAAGTACGTAACCCGTGCTGCTTATAAAACTTATTAAATTAAATTTCAACGTATTCCTTCTCCAAATTAATGAGCACTATAAAAATCTAAGCACCTTCGATAATCGTCTCTGTCATATTAATAAATTAAAAAATAGAAAAATACAATTATCAAATACGTATCTATTACCATCTTTCGTTAAATATGTAAAAGTTCATCTATGACCGAAAGTGTTTAAAAGATATGTTTGTCACTTTCATAACAGATACCGACAGGAGCTAACGAAGCGTTGCCAATGGATGGGCATCAACGAACCGGATGGCAACGCTAGTACAACCGCAGAGACTGTTTCCGTAACGACGGAGAAGCTTAAAGCCGATGACCCTTAAGCATTAAGCAAAACGAGGGGTAGTCTACGGTTGGCAAAGGCGAGATCTATGATTATCGGCCACCACACGATTATTATGACAGTATCTCGCTACTTCTCAACCGTAGATTAGACTGGAATAAAATAAAAGAAGCCAGACACAAAAATCGATTAAAATGTCAAACTGGTGTTAATAATTGCACTTATAATAAGATTTAGCGAATAAAGCGAATTTTGCTTGAAATGAGGTTTAAAATTCAATGCTACTGTAAGGGTCAGGTAAAGGACGAGATAAGTAATGTTACCATGGATAGAGTGCAAGGATAATAGTATAAACAGCTTGGGAACAGAGGGCGATGGAAGACAATTTCTCTCAATGTTCGTAATTAGTAAAATAGTAATAAATTATATGAAAAATTTAAGAAAAAGTTTCATTATATCGACTAAGATATTGAGCTCGAACTTTTTCTTGTTTTATATTTATATTTAACCTTGATTTTTTAAAATAGTTTGTTTTCAAACATGTACAGCAATTATGATACAATTTCGATAATAATTATAAAGTTGTTCGAAATATTAGACTTTGTATTTTATGAGCGGATGTATGAACGAGTTGAATATCGAATTAAATAAACTTATAGGATAATTAGTAATGTAGTAAGTAGTATTAGAAAAGTGTATCATAAGTTTTTTTAAGTTATTATAAAGAATGTATTCATAAATTTGTATAAGTTGCAAGAAAATCTTACTTTGTGAATAGGAAATTTTTTAATTTCCTGTGCAAACCGAAATACCTTTCTCATTAATTTTTTTTTTCACGCTCTCAATTAGTATTTAATAACTATGAATTAAAAAAAATATATCATCACAATTTTAAATTAAAATAAGAAATAAAATTTTATGTAGTTTCAAAATAAATTGATAACTGCAAATTAAAAAATTCAGCTTATGTCAGTAATAGTTTGACAAAAAATTCTCTAAATTGATAGTTTGAAAAAATAGTTTGAAATATTCTTCTTTAATAATCAGTCGTTAATCTATTACTAATAATATAGAATAATGACTATTAATTTTATAACCGATCACTTTATAATTGTTAAATTAAAACTACAATTCAATGCAGAAAAAGATTTTCTAAGCATTTATACTTTTAAGTATATGAATAAATAAATACACTGCAAAATATTTTCTCTGCCTTTAGATTATTATTGCTATGGATATATATATATATATATATATATATATATATATATAATTATGTTTAAATATAAATATATTAATTGTATTCATATCATACATTTATGAAATGAACTAAGCATTCATTAAATTTGGTCTGTCCAAATTAATTCATATTTGTAGATAATTGTTCAGCATATGTTGAGTAAATATTTCTTTTATATAATTATTATTTCTATTATTATTTATAAAAAAAATTAAAAATTTTAAAATACAATAAAACAATAAACTTATGTTTTCAAATATATTTTCAAGTGTAACAAACTAAATATTATTGTTTTATAATTTTACCATTTTTTAAATCTTTGAAATTCAATAAAATTGAATTCCATATAAATTAATTAACATATTGCTATATAGAAGATAGTATTGAGATAAAATTTAACAATTTTATTTAATACGTAGCATGTACATTAATATACATTTGTCAGCTTTGGAATATAATTTCATTCTTTCAGTCATACGTTTCAGATGAAATCTAAAAGTATAACGTAGAGTGAAAAAATTATTAAATCAAACAATCATTATTTTTAAATTCTTAATTATAAATTTCAGTTATAAAAATATTAAATTAATTTCAGATGTCGAACTATAAATTTATAAAACTATAAAGCCGGTGGAATGAACAACTATAATAATAATGGAAAAGTACTACTATTAAGTATTATTACATTAAATGATATTTACTTTACATTATATTAATCATTTTTGTTTACGTATTCATGAATTTGTATTTAAATTAAAAAAAAAACCGAAATAGAATGGGTTATCTTTACAGTGGTAATTTGAAAGAAATTTTTGATAAGATAGACATTTAGTTACCTTTTTTTTTAATAAATACGAAAACGTTATATAAAATATCATAGAACATGTATTATTTATTTCCACATAGAGTCATTGAAATATTATAATATATTTAATTCATTAATTATGATAAGGAGTTAATTATCGTATGAATATTATAAGTTCATAATAATTACAATTTGCATGTTATGAATACCAAATAACTATCTTTAATATTCAAATATTGAAAAACCGGTTAGCCCCGAATGGAATTTTGGATATTATGATGTACTTTGGATAACTTAGATAATTGTATACATAACTTATACAATATATGCAACTTATGCATGAATTTCATTCGGACGTAATGTCCATTAAATTAAAACAGAGATATCCTGTTACATAAGTGAATCAAATACTTCATGATTGAAAGCCTTGAAGATTACTACTTACAAGTTTTGAGACAGGATAAGTAATGGAAGTGGTAAAAGCGAAGCAACGATCTAAATCATAAAGAATATGAATCATAAAAGTGAAAATATAACATTAATCACTCGAAAATTAGGTGCTCATGTTAAAAATAAATTTATGAAAGCAGTGATTTTTCTTTTTCTGCTCCTAAGCATGTACGTTGATTTTAAAGATGTATGAGTGAAAACACTTAGATAAAACTGTGTACGTTTATTGTATCATCATAAAACAAAGTGAAGACATTCCGCGTGACTTGGTCTTATTTTATGGCGAAGGAGTCTGTCCTGATTGTAAACGCCAAACAAAACCATCGTGACTCCGCGGGGTCAATGGTTGCATTCGAGCATAATTTATTATCATGGTGGAGTGAAAATTCCCACTCAGATGACAATGTGTGACAATGCTTGTAACAAGATTCGAAGAGTTCCCATACAAGAGCGCGCGAAGAAACGAGAAATTGCTTCATAGATACTCTTCTGTTTTTTTTTTGTTTTTTTTGTTTGAACCTGCCGTTAGAACAAATAAGTTTTTAGTCAATTCGCCCTCGATCGCTATATATTGGTAATAAGTAGATTGCGTACGTGCACTTGGATTTTAATCTAATTAATCGCTATCTTCTCACATTTCCACACTCCAATTTAAATTATAAGCTATCGTGATAAAGATCAGTATACTCCACTTATTACTGATTTAACGAAAGCGATAAATTTGATCTGACAACGGAAGACGGCTTTTGGTTAAATTGTGGCGTCGAAGCCTCACAAAGCCTACATAATACAAGTTAGGTAGGATCATTGAATACAAAACTCTCGTATTATATGGTCAGATTGACTAATAAATTGACTGGAGAATGAATCGATAATTTAGTTGGTTAAGCAATTCGTTATGGAGTTTAATTTTTTATGTTACCGGCCTTCGCTTCAATTATATGAAACGGAGGAATTCTTTTTATGCTAATATATATAATAAAAATATACTTATATTTATTTTGAAAACTTTCAAAATTATTATTATTCTTTATTATCAGTTACCTTTCATAATATCCAAAATTAGTCTGAATTTGTAAAACATTTGATATTCAGTATTCACACTGTTATAACATTTTATTCTTTATCAATGATATTATCATTACTAATAAATTGGATATTTTCATATAATAACACCAAATTGGACCAAATTTTAAATGTTTACAATTTTAATAAATATTGGTGTATGTATATAATTATAACTACATTTATAATAATAGTCTATCGATTTTCATGCTTTCAGTGTATAATTTGTTATTTCCTTTTAAGTAAAAGTAAACATAATTTATTATTTCTGTATATGAAAGATGAATACATTTAATTAAAGAATAAAAATTGGGTAAATAAATTATTATAGTGAAAATTTTTAGTACTACTTATCGATGTATATATATATATATATATATACATATATGATTTTTTTTAATTTATCCATAAATTTAATACATTCTCTGTAAATAAATTATAAAATGTTCTCATGCATATATTTATCTTTCACCTACATTAGCCATTTTAAATAGTTACCATTAAATAATTTATCTGCCGATATTATCAATTTAAAATATAAAAAGTTTCAACAAATCTGTACTTTATACGTAAACATTATATGTATTATCATAAAAAACACATATAATTTTATGAATATTATTACGTAAATTGTTATGCTTTTCATCCTTTTAATATCTCTCTTTGTTCCATACAATTTTACTGTGAATATTACGTCCGTTTCTCAAAAACTAATATTTATTATTTACGTTCATTTGTTATTTTTGTAATTAAATTATTTATTAGTTTTTACCTTTTCTAAAGAAACACTTTTAGCTACGCAGAGCCCAAAAGGAAGGTAATGGGAACAACGGATATCGTACTGTCTTATGCCTACTAAATCACAGTTGTATCATAATCCCGTATTTATCAAGTCGTTATTTATTCCCGTTACCGCGAGCATATAATATTCCTAAAATTAAATTTATAACAAAATTTCTTGACAACAGAAATAGGGAGCATTAATTTAATTAAATCGATGTAGGTTATATATAAAATATCCGGATTCAACTAGAGAAAATTTTGCGAAAAGCGTTATAATCTCGGTGTACAACAAGTACAACTCGAGCACACCATTCTAGAAACATCCGCTACCATTTCCTAATGTCGCTTATTCGCGCGCCATTTTGGTCCAGTTATAGCTAGATACTGAAAATTCAATTATGTAGAATTTATGGCACTCGTTTGAGCATATTTATTGCCAAGAAATACGTGTGTCGAGCCACTATATAATGTCTACCTTTCACTGAAATGAAGCGATGCAAGCTTATTAATATCTAGGAATGGCAAGTAAGGGCTGGTGTAAAATATTCCAAAATATTTTCCTTACATTATTTTGCACTTATTTAATTTTCTCAGTTTTGATTACCGAGTAATAATTGTTGAATTGGTGAGCTATGAGATATACTACGTAGATATAAAGCAACACACGCACTCTGAATTCCACTAGTTTTGATAATAAATGTTAATAAAGTAGAATACAATAATTTTCACGAAAAAGTATTTGGATAAGTAGTATTTATGAAAAATATCTTTAGTCTCAAAGGATTATTTAATAATGTTATATATTTTCTTCTCTGAAAATTACTAAATCTTTGGTATATATCAGATA